AGAAGGTCGGCCAATGATAAAGTTTTTGGGAATAAAAAACTCTGAGACTCTAACAATATGTTTAAAAGAAACATACGAGGTTGCCTGGAGGCATTGATAATTCCTAGGATTAAATATTAGAGTAGCTAAAATGGATAATTTGAAGTAATAAATTAAATGAATCAACTAGCATTCTGAATAAAGCTGACCTTAAATATTAACCCAAATTCGGCTGCCTTCCATTTTTTGCTTGTCTTTTCGCACTTCTTTAGTTCCTTTGCTATGTATTTTCATATTCAAATGGAAATAGCTGTGCTATTCACCAAAGGTCCAGGAGACTAATAGTAACAGAAACAGTGTCTGGCAACATGTTTTCTCCAAATCCATCTGTTCTAGATACATTTCAGATTCATTGACCAACTACTGGACATTGCCACACTTCCAGTTCCATCTATGTTATGATAAATGGCATCTTTTCATGGCAATCCTAACCACATAGCAATTCCCAATATTGACAAATAAACTCTACTATAATTGGTGAGGGAGCATCCAAGCAACACCCAGCAACTGCCACAGTGTTTACCACAGGATGCTCTGTCTTTGCTGAACTGCTACGGTTCATTTCCAATCACGCTCCTCTGTCTACATTGGTAGCTGTATCCCTGTCCTCTTTCATTTTTATTTAGTGTAGTAGAGTGGAATACATATGTCAAAGGCATGTAACTAGCAGTTCTAGGGAAAGAAAGCAGAGACATAAAAAGTAAGAGAAACTATTCTGAAAAACAGAAGTGAAAAAACTATCACTTCTATGGTCTACAATTAGGTATCTAAAAGTCAAAATGAAAAAAAAAAAAATCTTGCCTTTGTGACCAGCATGAAGATAAATTGATCCTTATCAAAATACAAATTTTTTCCATCTTTTAGGAAAATTAGAATTTATAGAATAGAGATACATAGTAAGCTTCGTTTTCAGAATATTTTCTGATAGCTGTCATGAGTTTCCATAGGTTTCCTGCAGGACTTAACCACAAGCAGCAGCATCAACAGATATTACTCCAGAGAGAAACATTGCCTGAAGGCTATGTGTTACTGCTTTGATGCATTTCAAGATGTTTTAAAAGGCACTGTTGTGTGTATATGTTGGGGGCAGATGTATTCATTTGCCTTGTCTGAAAATGGGAATAAGAATGACTTTGGTGCTTTGCAACCATCCTGTCCTTCAATGCTAGGAGTGAAAGTGTAAAGGAGTCAATGTATGAATACTATTCATAGTTCCTGGATTTACACAGCCAGTGGTTATCACTGCCCATAGAAGAAAACTATGGAACAAAGAAAAATAATAATAATTATCTTTAAAAAGTGAAGCAAACAAAGGAAAGCTCTTCTACACTTAATAAATGCTGCTTCAGATCTTGTCCAGGAACTCAAAAGCTTTCTACTTATTCCAATGACGTAAAAGATATATGATTGCCTAAAAATGACAAAAGTCATTGCCATAAGAGATAACGTATTTTCAAACATCAAACATTTAAGCCCATAGATTTGATTATTTATTAGTTTGTCCAGCTGGATATGCAGGGATGTTTATCAGAGTACGATCAAGAGAGAACACAGAGTATAGACATAGACATAAAGGATGTCCCACTCCAGAGACCTCCTGAATGGCAGAGGAAGCATGCCTCAGCAGAGTTGTAGAAAGTCATATTTGACATTTCCAGCAAAGAAGCTGGCAGCTTGCTTTGATTTTCTGTAGTTAGAGGCCACAGGTATGCCTTTGTTGAGCTATAAGAGCCAAAATAAAAACACCAAGAAACTATTAGGATACAAATTTTACATGGAATCCTGTGTGATGTAGAAACATACACAAGCCTCAGTAATAGATTTGTGCCACAAAGGTATGATTCTCATATTAAAATATAGAATAAGTATCAGATCTTTGCTGTATGATCATGAAATGGAAAAGAGGGTAACAATGATGGTGGTGTTGGTGTTGGTGATGTTGTTGGTTGTTATGATATAATGATGACGATAGTTATAATAAGAAAAAGATTCCATTCAATTCAAAAAAACCCAAAATATCATCCCCTCAAGCCTAGGAGTGGGCAAATCTCTTCATAATGAGTAAATCCTATTCTTTATAATATCTAAGCCTGTCATGAAAAGAAATATAGCAAGAACATAAACATTAGAAAAATCTAACTGAACAACATCCTTGAACCTGAGGTTCCTCATCTGTATGAGTGAAGATGTATATAAAAACTTACATTTAGCTAAATGAGAATATGCCTAGCCAATGATAGACTCCTTGCTTTCAATGGATACCATGATTTCAAAACCACTCTGGTTATTGTTACCATAGAACAATTCTGTGATGTTTGACTAAAACAACAGAAATGATAAACAAAGAAGATAAAGGCCATTTGAAATTCAGATTTCCTGATTCATCCAATTCTCTAGTGTAGGTAATGGAGAAGTTTGGATGCAGTCATTCAGAATGGGTCTGAATACATCATAAATCTCTGAAGCACAGGGATCCCTTCATATAATCTTCAGAAAAATGCAAGCAATATCTGAAAAAAATGAATACTTCTATTTAAGGGTAAATAAATAGCTACATGTAATCTTTATTGATGAACCTTGCAGTTCTTTCTAAAAAGCAGCATGTGCAAACTAATTTCCTAGTAATAGTAACATATTCAACCCAAGTGTAGTCAAAACACAAAACAGTGGATTTTGGTTCACATCAATGCTTTTTCATAAGTTTGATGAAGATTTAAAAATAAAAAAAGTTGCATTATGCTTATAATTTTATAGAATTTGCTGTAATCAAAATATGGCTTATTATTTTACTATGTAATTGGTTTGAATTCCACTTTCACATTAATATCTTTGATCTCTTTCTGTGTAAAGATCTTTAAGAAGGACATTATTAATAAAGACTATGGGGCTTTTGCAGCTTATTTTCATAGCCATTTTTTTATTTCCATCATCTTTTAAAGTTAATAAAATTTAATGAAACATTAGGTATATAACTTACATTGACTCAATTTCCTCCTAGCAGGATGCATATGTGAATCAGCTTCCCACCGCTTGATAAAAGCAAGCTTACAACCAAAACACAGCCAAAGAAGAGTAGGTTTTTATCTTTACTTTTCAAACACATGAGACCCTCAGTCTTTCCAAAGTGGTAAGCATGGCCTGGATCACTTTAAGAATAACTGTATTTGTGTATCAAATGGATATAAAGGCACTAAAACAAAACAAACAACAATCAACATCAACAGCAGCAAAAAGTCCACAGCTTTGTCTTTGCCCTATTCTTTAAGAATCTTATTGTAATTTCTTCAACAGTATAAATACACTTTAGGAACAGAAGAGGCAACTGAATTGTAAAATGTTCAGACTGTAATGATCATAGTATTTGTAGCATATGCCTCGTTATCTCAGGGGTTCTGGCTGCCTACCAGACTCAAACCCATAGGGAATGGACTTACACAATTTTAGTGCCAAATGTCTTCCAGTTTTGGGGGTTCCTTCCCTTGGTTGCCTGTATGTCACAGGTCAAACTTTCGAAAAATTGGACTTTTCATGGAATCTTTCTCATTGGGATGACTTGTTTTTATAGGACAATTGATTAATTTTGATTCCTATGAATGATTTGTCAGAGAAATAAATAAAATAACGAACACTTGCCCTAAATAAGTCTAGCATGTTTGGAAATTGCTGAAGACACATGGGTGACTCCTGACTGAACTTGTTAACTTTTCTAATCCATATCAGACCACATAAAGACCAAAGACTGGAAACAGATAACCATAAAAACCTGATTTTTGAAATATTTTACAATAACATATTATAGCTGTGTCTACCATATCTTATGACACAAATGAAGAAACTGACTAGGTATTGAAAACTCAAAAAAAAAGAGGAGTAAAGAGTTTTCTAATTTATGGTCACAAGAGAAAGTGATGAGATAGCTCCAAAAATAGTCTATTTTTATTTTAGTCTAGTCCATTCAGTGTATAATTAGAGGCACTGTTACTCTTCCGTTGTATTGAGCTGATCTTGTCAATGAGGAACTAAAGGCATACTGTAAAAAACCAGACAACTAGGACTAAGGAAAGGGGATGCAAAACCCAAGAGAAGTTTACCCTTCAGCTGTAATCACTTCCTTATAAGAAAGAAAATAGAAAATATACTTTATGATTGGAATCCACAATTACAGAGAACCTCTATCAAGCATCATTTTCTTTGATACTCTTTTTAAACAAAGGGAAAAGTATGTTATGGAATGTTAGAACTCTGTAGACATGATATGTATCATTCAGAGAAAATAAAAGTAAATGAATAAACTCTACAAAGTTAACTGGAAACTCAAAATGGCTACTTAATCAAATTTAACAAAGTTCAGTTGACTTGGCCTTCATTTAAGGTAAGATATATGCTATTGAGTTATGTATTTTATTGTCTTATTTGTCAAAGTTTACCATTTTTAAAGAAGCCATGTGCTTTTTCTGTGAATCATCAGTACCCTGGTTAGTTTCATGTCAATTTGCTACAAGCTACAGTCATCTAAATGGAGGGAACCACTAGTGAAAAAATGTTTTTATAAGATCCAGATGTAGGAGATTTTCTTAAACAGTGAATCATGGCAGAGAGCCAAGTACATTGTGGGTGCTGTTGTACTAGAATGGGGGTCCTAGATTCTATAAGAAATCAGCCTGAACCATGAATAACAAGCCAGTAATTCACACCCCTCCATGGCCTTTACATCTGCTTCTGTCTTCAGGTTCCTGCCCTTTTTCCATTCCTGTCCTGACTTCCTTCAATGATTGACTATTATGTGGAAATGTAAGCCAAATACACCCTTTCCTCCCTAGGTTGTGTTTGGTCATAGAGTTTTATCACAGCAACAGTAACACTAATTAAGACAAACAATATAATATGTATTAAAATGTACATATTCTCTCTTCTTTTTGAAAATATACATGTAGAATACTCCATCTATAAAATTTTTTTTAGAGAGGAGCATGAACACAGTGCCCCATTACCACAAATTATGCAGGCAAGTTTTCCACATTTGGGGAAACTGCAGGGGTCAGCATATCTAGAGCACAATGGATAAGCACTGCCCTGGGAAATCCACGTTTGTGATCACGGTATTTCACCTTCCAGGTGAGTACGTAAAATAATTCTTAAGCACAACATATTAGTAGAGCATTTCATCATATCTACACAGATATGTGACACTGTCTGATTTTACAGGTTGAGTTTGAAAGAAGGAGTATTATGTGTTGTATTTTTATTGCATAAAAACACAGGAAAAACAAATGGAGAAGTGCAATTAGCTACAGTTTTAACATAAAATAATTTAACACTTCCCTTTAGAAATTAATGAAATGTTTCTATACAAGTAAAACACTAAAATGCAGTGAGAAATTTTCAAGATACCATTTTTAAAACTGCGTAAAAATAGAGTGATTTTGTTATAATAATTTAAGTCATGAACTGATGGGAAATAATTGCTTAATATAGCTGATAAACTCTTTTGATTACATAGTTAAATGCTAATTATGCAATTCTCCCATTACCTACACAGTTTCTCAACTGCATATTCATGATATAAGGAGCAGAAACATCTCTATTTGCTTGTCTTGTTGAAATGATGCATTTCTCCATTTCATTTTATTACTTGCATTTATCCTTCTTTATTTATTTAATTCCATCTCATTTCAGGGAACTGAAAACTCACTGGTTCACTTAGATGTGTGCTTTTGTTTCACATTGGAAAGTTTGCTGGTCATAACTGTAGATGATAACCAGAAATAATATGCAGAAATAATAACTGCACATGTCTATCCTCATTAACAGATTTTCATACAGAAAAATAAAAATTTTATGGTTCTTGTCCTTTTTTTTACACTTATCTGTAACACAAAGTTTAAAAGGTCTTATTAAATAAAAAACACAGAGCCATAAGGGATGAAAGCCTTACATCAGGGAAATAGGGAGAGTCAGCAGCCAACCTCTCCAACTCTGCAGCTTCCAAATGCACAACTTCCTGGCTACCGAGGTTTTATATGCCTTGCTTTTCTGCCCTCTCATTGGCTATCGTAGTCCAGCTACATCACGTCCTATTCCTACACTGCCCGGCCACTGTCTGTCTGTCTGTCTGTACAGATCTCCAGGTCTCTGTGGTTGGTACTGGGATTAAAGGTGTGTGTCACCATGCTTGGCTCTGTTCCCTGGTGTAGCCTTGAACACACAAAGATCCTGCCTGCTAAGAGATTAAGGGCATGTGATGCGTGACTTCTTTGTTTACTTAAAATGGCTGGCCTTTTTCCCCCTGATCATGCTACTGAATAAACTGTTGAAATTTGGTTTAATAGGGTGTCTAGGGCTAATGGCTTTAGATAATTACAGGTATTCTTACTTATTATTCATAAATTCCATTATTAAATTCATATCTTACTTAATTGGTCACTTAAATAAAAAAGATTGAAGAACTAAATCAAATCAAACAGGGAAATACATCTTAAATAATGAAAAATGATATAATGGGAGATTGAAAAAGTTACATTTGCCATGACTAATAAAAGCTCTACATATCCAAATGACTAAATATTTAGTGGATTAATGGCCACATATTCATGGTATACAAACTATCTTACTTTAAAAATATGAATGTCAGAGAGAAAGGAGAATATTTGTTTCATTTTAATAAGGATATTATTTTAATAGTTCTAGCAATATCAACTTGATAAAAAAAGAATACCTCTTTCCTCTGCGTTTGGCAAAATTCTTTCATGTAGTAAAAATGACTCTGGTGCTGATGGCTGCAATTTCAATGTAAAGTTAACTTTGTCTGTAGGTGAATACAGCACGTTAAGCATGACAAATATTTTGATGGAGCAGTAGCTGAATAGATAAGTGCACTTGAAAGGACTCATGTGCAATTACCAATATCCACATGGTGGCTCACCGCTATCTGTAATTCTTATTCACGGGGAGCTGGTGCACTCCTCTGACCACTGCAGGCTCCATGTATGGTATGGTTCACTTTCATGTGTGCAGGCAAACACCCATACCCACAGAGTATTTTAAAAATCTTAAGGACAAGAATGACAAAACCTAGGAAAGCTAGAGACTAATAAATTTGTGCACAGAAGAACGCACAGGCAAAATAAATCAGTGGCATACACCAATGAATCAACAGCAATGTAAATACTAGAAGGGCAGACTTGGGCAAATGACAACCAGGCGAGCAATAAAATCCTCTACGGTTCTTAATGTTCCTCTTATTTTTCATTTCTCTTTTTTGTGTGTGGATATTCCTCTGTGCAAGCACATGAGTTTGACCCCTTCCTCAATGACTGCCCGTCTTATTTTTTTAGACAGTGTTCCTATGTGAACCTTGAGCTTGCTGGTTTAGGTAGGATGACTAGTCAAAAAGGCTGTGGGACTGTCGTTTCTATCTCCCCAGGGCAGATATAACAGCTATGTGCTCCTGTGAGAGCTTTTGTGTAGGTATTGGGCTTTGAACTCAAAACCCCACTTTTGCATAGCAAGCACTGTAAAGAGCTAAGCCATGTTCCCAGTTCCTGTGATTTCCTTTTTAAGAAGTTTTTAAATCCACATAGTTTAAAAATATGTGCAAAAGTACAATTGTGTTTTTTTTTTATGCTAACCATTTTTTGTCAAAATAAATGCTAGAAAATAAAGCTTGAAACTACAAGAAGCTGAGTTTGAAAAGTCTACACTGATGAGCTCCCTCAGAGGGATCAGAACCAGGTCTATAAATATCTTCAAGGTAACCCTGAGATTAAGGGAAGGACATCATTTATAATGTCATAAGAAGGAAGGACACAGAACAATGCCTGCAGCTAAAGAAAAGGAAAAAAATGGCTGGTTATTTTAAAAGTTCTTGATACTGAGGTCAACTAGTTTGAGTTAGTAGCAGCAGCACAAGCTTTTATGATGAAGTGCAATTTTTTTCAAGGTAGGTGGGTTTAGCAAGTTAAAAACTGGGCCATTCTTTTTACTGCAGAGCCCATTAAGAAAAATGCAAATACTAGTGAGAACATGCCTCGTTCATTCAGCCTTTTGATATAACCCGAAGTGTACAGGGCTATTGAAGTTGCCAGGAAGACTGTCTTAAATGTCAATGTCTTCTGTGGATAGATGTACTGAGACAAATATATGCTCCTTGATAATTTTACATATTATTTTTCAGGAAGTTATTTTTTTTTCTTTTCAGGTTTTCATCTTCAATTTAAATAATGCATCATTAATTGAAATAAAATTATATCATTTTCCTCTTCCCTTTCCTCACTCAATTCCTCTCACTGACCCTCCTTCCAATCCTTCTCATGCCCCTAAACTCTCAAACTGATATTCTCCACTTCTTTGATTATCATTGCTTCATACATGTAAATTTGGGTAGGAGTAACTAAACTAAATTTTAGTAAAGAAACTAAATTTTAGTTTATTGCATGTGATACACTAAATAAAAATAGAGTAGAAATGAGGGGAAGTAGTGATCCCATCTTTCTCACAGCTGCAGGTCTGGGCTGTGGGTAGGATGTGAGGGAGAATAGGGGATGCATTTTTTAAAATATTTCTTGATCCTTTCAGCGCAATACATGTTATGAAGCATAGTATATTCATTTCTTGTTGTTTGTTTTTCACTCAGCAAATATCTACTGAGTGCTCGTCAGTTGCTGACAATGAGGGGATGCCACTGTGGTGACAGGTGACTGTGGTGACAGGGCCCAAACCATCCATGGCAGACAAAATGACCTTTCAAGTCATTTTTTATCATTACCATATAGCAGAAATTTGGCAGGTTGCAAAATGAATTGAATTGAAAGGAGGCATCCACATACTGTCTCCTGTCATGCATAGTGCTTTACTGTGGTGCAGACTGGTTCATAGCAACAGCAGCTCAGAATCCATAGTACAGAAGGATAGAAAAGAACTTCGCTGTCCTTCAGAGGAATATCTGAACTGGGAATTTTCAAGTCACAAGGACATGATGCGTATCATATAGATAGATTTACAAATCAATGTGTCTACCTGTAGCTTAGTGATGAAATATCATGTGAACACCCGTGAGTTTGTTAAAAATCTTATTATTCCCTTTGTTTTATAGTTTCACATATGAATACTATATTTACATCATTTGTACTCCTCCTTCTATCCAATCTCCCTTGCCCCTCCATTCTTTTTTCAGTTAAGCTGAGTTCTGTGTACATCTTGGAAATGGCCTGATCTCAAGATATTTGATGACAGTCATATATGGAGGTGTTGGTGAATTTTCCATACAGGCCAGGGCTCTGTGTGTAATATCTTATAAAATTATATTATCGCCAGGCGATGTTGGTGCACGCCTTTAATCCCAGCACTCAGGAGGCAGAGGCAGGCTGATCTTTGTGAGTTTGAGGCCAGTCTGGGCTACCAAGTGAGTTCCAGGAAAGGTGCAAAGCCACACAGAGAAACCCTGTCTCGAAAAACCAAACCAAAAAAAAAAATTATATTATCATCTATTCTATTCAAAGTAAAATTTGAGCATTTGCTTGATCTGCTCGTGGAAAATTATATTAAATTTAGACCCTCATAATTTTTCAAAATAATCCAACAGTTCTTTCTCTATAGTATTACTTTTAATTAATATACTAATTCCATGAATATTAATACTATCTCAATTTTAAGCAGTAAAACCCTGACACAGAAACAGATTAGGCCTATATATCGAAATGCAAAATCACCAAATGGAAGAGTTGAGACTACCAAAGCCTTTTTAGCATTGTGCTCCATTGACTATTCAAAGTTGAAGTTTAGGTCTATGCAGCAATATAAGACCACAGAGGAAAGACTTAGTAACTTAATTCTAGTCTGTTGCTATACTTTTAATCAAATAACAGCTTTGTACTGTATATTACATGCCAGGAATACCCATACATCTAACAACACATCTATATACAAACAATCTCTATCAAAATCAAAGTAGATTTAAAGGCATACTTCCCAAAGCTTTATATTTCAAAACCAGGACACCTGCAGATACATTTAGTGATTGTTACGAAAGGATTGCCAAAATGGGAAGAGGCTTTAAAATCAAGGCTTTGCTGTAACATGGATGATTACATGTTAATGACTTGTGATTAACTAGGGTTTCAATTTT